TTTTTTTTAATCCTTTTATTCTCTTTAAAAAAATGAAAAGTAACCTATAGCTGTGGTCGGATCCTTTTTTGTTAAAAGAAAAATGACATATACAAAGGGAAACAAAAGAGTTGTAGCTCAGTTTAACTAGTAGCCATTTGGGGTGATAGGATAGTAGGTGACCTTTGTCATTTTATATATTTGCGGAAGTATTGTTCTTAACATCCACTTCTGAAGTTCAAGAATTTGACATCTGCTATTTCTTGATCAGATCTTGATATTTGCTCAAATTATGTTTTGCAGAAAGTGTATAGGCAGCAACAGAACAGCAACTTATTCTTTCTTGCAGACAGAACAGAAATGCTTTCTGAAAGCAAAAGTAAGTTTTGGGGGGACAGTTGTTCTAGTATTTGGCATGGAAAGGCACATTTCCATGCTTTTTCTTGGAAATTCATAGTACCTCTGTTTTACTGCCTCTTTCTGAATGTTTGTATCTAAGGGTTAATAGTGGTTTACATTGGCCTCCCAAAGATGAATCTATAGGAAAAAATGCTGTGTTAAAAGTGCTAATTATTGGCCAGGGAGATGGCTCAGTGGAGTAAGCGCTTCCCTGGCAAGCGCAAGGACCTGAGTTCAATCCCCGGTTCCGCAAAAAAAATAAAAAAAGACCAGATGGAAAAGTGTTTCAAACAGTCTGGTTAAAACTAAACTAGCACTGTTAAAAAAAAAAATACTAATTATTAGCATGCACTTAAGAGTGACAACTGTTAGTATAAAAACTATTACACTATTTTCTACCTTTGTGGCATTGAGTAAAATACTCCAAGGTCAGAGCCTTCAGAGTTTATGTAAGATGGTATATGTAAAATACTGAGCCAAGTACTTGGATCAGAATAAGCAGTCAATGAATAGAAACCATTTTTCTAACAGGTCAACGTTCTTTGTTAGTAGCCAGTTATAAATTATTTCCAGCAATAACACTGGATGAACTCGTACAGTTTGATCTTGGTAGATAGCCTGTGTTATCCTGTGGGTTTATAGGTAAAAGTCTAAGCGTTTGTATTTTACTTAATATTTTTTTCTTTTTCTCTCCCACAGATGTCTTAGATGAACTGAAAAAAGAATACCAAGAAATAGAAAACTTAGAGAAGACCAAAATCAAGAAATAAGACACCGTAGTGCTGAGTGTGGTGGTGTACACCTGTAATCCTAGCACTTGGGAGGCTGAGGCAGGAGAATTGTGAGTTTGAGACCAGCCTGAGCTACAAAGTGAGCTCAAGGCCAGCCTGAGCTGCATAGCAAACCCCTGTCTCATAAAGACAAAAAAGAAAAGAGTCATGCTGATTTCATAGAACAATGTGTGGCATTTGCTGTTCTGTAAGCTTTTCTGTTGAGCATTTCAAGAAAGACTTAAAAGAAGATTTACTATATAATCTGAAACGGCGGGGACCTGACAGTGATAAACAGTTGTTAAAATCTGCTGTCAACTACCAGTGTTTATTTTCTGGTCACGTCCTTCACTTGAGAGGTGTTTTGACCACCCAGCCTGTGGAAGATGACAGAGGCAATGTGTTCTTATGGAATGGAGAAGTCTTTGGTGGAGTAAAGGTTGAAACTGAAGAGAATGATACTCAAATTATGTTTAAATATCTTTCCTCTTGTAAGAGTGAAGCTGATATCTTGTCACTGTTCTCAAAAGTAGAGGGTCCTTGGTCTTTTATATATTATCAGGCATCTAGTCATCACTTATGGTTTGGGAGGGACTTTTTTGGTCGCCGTAGCCTGCTTTGGCAGTTTAGTAATTTGGGCAGGAGTTTCTGTATCTCTTCTGTTGGTGCCCAGATATCCAGAGGGACAAAGCCTTGGCAGGAAGTTCCAGCAGCTGGCATTTTCAGAACTGATCTAAATTATGCAGCCAGTTCCAGATATGTGATTTTAAATTTCTATCCTTGGAAACATATCTCTGAGGAGAATGTTACTGAAGAATGTATTACTGTCCTGACTCAAATTTCAACAGACTTACCAGCATTTGTATCAGTGGTGATGAATGAAGCCAAACTGTATCTTGTAAAACCTGTTGTTCCTTTAAATATGATGTCATGCCAGGCTTCACCAGAAACTCATTGCAGAAAAATATCCAGCGTCCCACCTACAAGAGAGACACTTCAGGTCTTTTTCACAGATGAACACATGAGAAGAGTAGTCCACCAGTTCCTTGACATCTTGAGTGTTGCAGTCAAGAGACGCGTCTTGCATTTACTGAGGGACAGAGACCTGCCACCAAATGTAATTTTAAAATCTTGTGATAGGAAAGCAAATGTTGCAATCCTGTTTTCTGGGGGCATTGACTCCATGGTGATTGCAGCCCTCACCGATCGCCATATCCCCTTGGATGAGCCAATTGATCTTCTTAATGTGGCTTTCATGATGAGAGAAAAGACCATGCCAACTCACCTTAATAGACAAAAACAGAAAGATCACTGTGAAACACCTTCTGAAGAATTCTCCACGAATGCTGGTGCTGTTGATGGTGATTGTCTTGATGATAAAGTCCCAGATCGGATCACGGGAAGAGCTGGACTAAAGGAACTGCAAACTATTAGTCCATCTCGAGTCTGGAATTTTGTTGAAATCAATGTTTCACTGGAAGAACTGCAAAAACTAAGAACAACACAAATTTGTCACTTAGTTCAGCCCTTGGACACAGTGTTGGATGACAGTATTGGCTGTGCAGTCTGGTTTGCATCTAGAGGGATTGGTTGCTTAGCAACTCCAGAGGGGACAAAATCATATCAGAGTGCTGCAAAGGTATGGCCTAGTACTTCTGCTCAGAAAAACTCTAGACACCTCCTTTTGACCCAGAGCTGTTAGCACTTAAATTCCAAGAGTATTGCATATTTTGTTTACATTTAATTTAAAAGGATAAAGTATATGCTTTATTTAAAGTAGGCATAATTTACTATTTTCTGATCTTGCAGTTTTTCTCCAAAAATACAATTAGGGCCTAATTTTTTTAGCTTTGCTTTTTTGCATAGTAGGGCATGATTTCATAGGGATTTTTTAAAACTTTTCTAGGTACTTCTCACAGGCATTGGTGCAGATGAACAGCTTGCGGGTTATATGCGTCATCGTGTCCGCTTTCAGACCCTGGGACTGGAAGCACTGAATGAGGAAATAGCAATGGAGCTGGGCCGGATTTCTTCTAGAAATCTTGGTCGTGATGACAGGGTTATTGGTGACCATGGAAAGGAAGCAAGGTAATTCTCATTAATTGAATGTTTTCTCAGGTATTTTAGTAAAAACAGTAGGCTATCAAAGGCCTGTCCATTTAAGTTTCTTTTTCTTTGGAGTTTGGTCCCATGAATAACCGGGACAGCAGTAATCTTGTGGCTTTATGATTATAAACACGGAAGCATAGGTGGGAGGAGCCAGAGGAGCAGTTGTTTATTGAAACTCATTCTCCAAAAACTATTTTTTTCAGTTAGATCTCCATGTAATAGAATGTATAATTATCTATAAAACTACGATGAAAAAGACTGTGAAAGTAAAACTGTGGTGATATACCAAGAAAAGGTATTTACAGGGTATGGTTTGACTTTAGATATTTACTCTTCCCAGTAAGAGTACCATATAAGCCCAGGCTTTCTCTTGTGGTGTTACAGATGGCATCTCAGGAGTTTGCACCTTATCTACAACACAGTGCTGGTGGTAGTAAACAAGTACTTGAATAAAGCTTTTTTAGACATTAAGGGTGAAGGATGGTATGTGCATAAAGAAGAGAATCCTGCTTAATAATTTGCGAAGTGGCTTAATACAAGGGTACGAGCATGTACCCAGTTGTTACGCTTATATTGTCAGTATTCTGTCCTAGTTTTCAAGATTTCCTTACAGATGACTAATACCACACTATAAAGTCTATAAAGGAAAACCTTGATGGCTGTGAGAGAGAAAGCCCAAGAGGAGAGGAAAGGAAAGAATGAAAGAAATTTAATCCATCAGTCATTTGGGTCACAGTGAAAGGACTTTAGTTCCTCTAGTGAATACATTTAATTGTAAAGGCCCCATATGAAGGTATTGTTACCTCAGATAAAAATGCTTATGAAAATTGTTTAATACACCGGATATGAGTGATTAATTTATATATCTTGGCATACATTTATCAGTAATCTACTTGATAAATAATTATTGTACACTTAACAGTACTTTATTTTTATAAAATACCCTGTAGAACAAATTCCTTTACCCTTTTCAATCTTTCTACTTGAGCTAGAATGAAATACAAGGAAACATTAGTGTAACTGCATTGCATTCTGAGGAACTGAAAGGGTGAAAAAGGGGTTAAAGTCTTACTAACAGTAGAGTTCTGAGAGAAAATAGAGATGCAGATAGGGCGGGAAGTTTTTTAAAAAATCTTAACATTTTGTTATGTGACATGTTTGTCACCATTTGAGCATTTTAAAGTATAATTAGACAGTTTTGATACCACAAATTAGTGCTTCATAAGTCCAAGAATGTGGAGCCCTTCTGTATTTATTTCTTACCCCTAGAGAAAGTTCAGAGGTGAGACACAGACTGGATTCTGTAGCTAACCAAGGTCATACCTGTTTTCAAGGCATCCCCGCCAATATCATGTGAAACAATTTGAAATTAGTTCTTGACACCATGGACCTAATTTATTCTTAAATTGTATTCTAACATACATAGTCCTATGCTGTGAAACACTTTTAATTTATTTACATAAATTATGTGAATATATGTAGATAACCATTAACAGGTTGATTTATATTTTCATATAGTAGTTATTTTATCTGTTTATTTTAGATTTCCATTTTTGGATGAAAACGTCGTGTCCTTCCTAAATTCCCTACCTATCTGGGAAAAGGCAGACTTGACTTTACCCCGTGGAATTGGTGAAAAGCTAATTTTACGTCTTGCTGCTGTGGAACTTGGTCTTACAGCCTCTGCCCTCCTGCCAAAACGGGCCATGCAGTTTGGATCCAGAATTGCAAAAATGGAAAACAATAAGGAGAAGGCATCTCACAAATGTGGAAGGCTCCAAGTCATCTCTTGAGAAAATCTTTCTTTTGAAAGGGAGACTAAATTATGATATGATTTCATAGTGGTACAATATTTACTGAAAGTTACATAAAAATAAAATATTGCTCTGCTTTATTGTAATGGTTTTAAAGCTTCCTGTGGCAAAGCTTCTAAAACGCTTGGAATTTGCTGACAAGTGTCTTGTTACAGTGAATGCCTTTTGATTACCATGGCAGTGAGGCAGTTGATGGTGGGATTCCCTGGATGACCTCACAATGGGCCGAATGACCAGAAAGACTGTGTATAAGTGAACTGGAACTTGGGCCCCATGTGCAGACTTCTGGGGAGCCGTTGAGGTGGGCTGGAGGTAAAGATGAAGATCTGTTAAAACTTACAGGATTTGGGGCTGGGGAGGTAGCTCAGTAGAATAAGTGCCTGCCTGGCAAGTGCAAGGTCCTGAGTTCAAAACTTTTACAGGATTTGATGAGTTCCCAGTTTGTTGGACCCAGGGATGTCCTAGGAGGGAACCTGCCCAGAGTGTGCATGGAAGCTGTTCTGTGCCTTCTCACCCCCAAATACCTTGCCATCTGTATCTTGTACCCCGCTGTCCTAAGCTGCATCCTTTAAGATAAACCACTAAATTACTTACAAAATTCAAATTTCTATAAACCAGCCTAGCAATGTCATAGGAACCCCATCCCCTAACTGGTTGGTCAGAAGTTCCAAGTTAAGGTTGACATTTAAAGCATGGGTCAGTCTTGTGGGGCTAAGTCCTTCCCTCCCGGGGTCTGACATTTAATTCCAAGTATGTAATCAATTGTAATCAGTTGAGAACACCCAGGTGATGTTCAGAGCCAGCACTGGTGTCAGAAGTGTGTGAGGGTGAAGAGATTGAAGGATTTTCCAGACTAATTTCATGGTAGCTGCATCCAGAGAAGACTCGATTTGCTATTGTTAAGTCGTGATCTGGGACCTTGGTTTACATAGGACTTTGATGGATGAGAGCACTGCAGTTTGGAGAAGCTAGACCCCTCGCTTGAGGCTCACCCCTGAGCAGTGCTTAGTACATCTGTTTAGACAATGCATTTTCCTACTTAAAGAACTTTTAAACACTGCTTTAAACCTCATTCTGCCCCACAAATCTCACCTGTGTCCCATTCTTAATGACTCCGGCTTTTTGCAGAGCACAAAGGTGGGGAAAGAATTGCTTCCTCTTCCCAGCACAAAGCTCCCCGGCCCCAGCCCTCTTAATTTTTTAATTTTGAGATTGAGTTTCACCAAGTCGCCCCAGCTGGGCCACTTGAGATCTTCTTGCCTCAACCTCCCAGTGTGTTGGAATTACAGACATATGCCACCATGCCCGCTCCCCAAAACTTTCAACAATAAAAATATATTTCAGTTCTGGAGGCCAAAGTCCAATATCCAGTCAAGTCGGGGCTGGTGCCTGAGCCTTCTCTCCTTGGGCTACAGCTGACCTCGTCTCTGGCCACGTGGTGCTCCTGTGCATGAAGGCGCCCAGGTGTCTCACCCCATCACATCTGGGACCCACCGTGCCTGGCTCAGCCGGGGTTCCCTAAGGGCAAGGGAAGGAATGATGGTGAAGGTGAGATTCCAGCTCAGAGCCCCGCAAAGCCTGGTGATTTCGCTGCCACCACTGTTTCGTGTTTAAGCAAAATCAGAGGCACCAGCCTAGCCCGAGGCCGCGCGGCTTCTAAAGGGGCCGCGAGCTGAGTGGTAGTCAGCTGCGCGGGACAGGCGGCGGCCCTCTCACCGGCGCCCAGTCCTCGAGCGGGCCCCCACCTCAGCGCCCCGGGGACCAACGACTCAAACCCGCGCCCGCAGTGCGCCGCCGCCACCGAGGGGCAGCGAGAGGCCGCTCCAAGCGGCAACCGTCCCAGGCCTCCGGGACACCGGGACCCAGCTTCTCTCTCCTGGACAAGAAAGAAGGCTTTCACTTCAGAGTAGGCTTCTCTTTCTCCTCGCCCTTCCCCGAGCTGGTGTGATCATGGCTCTTGGCCTTGTGACACACCGGGTTCTGATCACGCGAGGTGTGAAACCTGAGATGAGCCCTGTAATCTCCATATTTGCATCCACGAAGTGGGCAGAAATAAAGTCTGCCCTCTGGACGGGGCTCCCCAGGGCAGCAGGAGACTCAGGTTCCCTGGTCCCTCCGGAGCTGACAGAATCCCACTGTGGGGTGGGATCCTGGAAGACATTTTCACAAGTGCCAGGTGATTTTAATATAGGTTAAATTTTGAGAACCATTGTCATCGTGGAGATGGACTGCATGAAATAAGCAGAAATGCTGTACGTCAGTGCCTGGCAAATGGTAGATGCTCAGTCGAGGACAATATGGTTACTCCAGAGACACAGAAGCATTTAGTTACTACATAAAACCAAAGGTTAGACTGCAAATAGAGCTCAATGATAGAGCACTCGCTTAGCATGTCAGCGCTCCTAAGGCTGGAACCTTGGCATCACCAAGTGCAAAAAAAAAAGGAAGAAAGGGAAAAGAATTAGGTATTTCCTGTCTGCCCTTTAAGCAGATCCTTACTTTCTTTAAAACTTTGGAGAGATGCGTACCCAAAAATCCTCTCCAATGGTAATACTGTAGGCCAACAGCAGTTGCTTCTTGTATATAAACTTAACGTTTTTTTGACATGCAGTCCCCTGTTACTTAACAACAGGGACACATTCTGAGAAGCATATCACACTATTTCATTGTGTTGTCATCATAGAATGTACAAACTAAGATGCTACCGATGGCGAGGCAGTCTACTCTATGAGGCAGCATTGCCTGGGCAGCCTGCTGCTAACAGAAACGTAATGCAGCATACGATTGTACTTTGCTGTATCTTTTGTCTCTCTGAAAAGAACAGCATGATTATAGGTCTTACAATTTTAATTATTTTAATTCAGATTTTAGCTTCTGCTGCAACTAGTTTAAAACAGAAAAAAAAAAAAACTAGTCGTCAATTGACCTTAGAAAAATAACCTTCAGTAAAAACAGATTTATTTCTAGGGTACTGCAGATTCATGATCCTGTTAATTTTTATTACTTTTCTTTTACCCGTTGCAGAAACTTCAAAAGGGATGCACTAGATTTAATTGAAAATGTTAAGACTGCCCAAAAAAGGATTACCTAGAATTGATCAAGCTCAAGACGAAGAAACCTACCTTGAAAATTTAGCAGTACAGAGAAATGCTTCTGCTTTTTTTGAAAATTACGATCGCAGTGAAATACAAGAGTTACTAACCACAGCATTAGCCAGCTGGTTGTCTACAAAAGAGGATGGCCGATCACAGCTAGAATTCCCAAGTGGGATTATGAGTCAAATGAATAACGTAGGATTCTCCACCGTGATCCTACTGATGCCTGCCGACCCCACCGCCCTCTTAGACTATAGAGAGGTCCATCAGATCATAAGGGAGTTGGCTGTTGGAATTTATTGCTTAAATCAAATTCCTTCAATCAGCTTAGAAGCTAATTATGATCAGAGTTCTTCCTGTCAGTTACCTCCAGCTTATTTTGATACCAGAATTGGGCAAATTCTGATCCATATTGACTACATGCTGAAAGCACTATGGCATGGAATATACATGCCCAAAGAGAAACGGACCAGGTTCTCTGAAATGTGGCGTACCATCTTCGACATTGATCCAGATGGGAAGCCTCAAACCACTAAAGATATTTTTGCAGAGTTTAATTCATCAGGTAAGAGACTTTTGCACTTCTTATTTTTATTAGAAGCCATTTTTAATTTTAAAAGTAATTTATCTGTGCCTCAGGTACTATATTCATTTTTCTTGATAAAAAACATTTGTAACGTTAGCCATCACTTCTAAAAGGAGGTTTTCTTTAAACTTCAAGAAATGTTTTAATAAAAACTCTAATTTTTAAAAAAAAAAAATCACTGAATAGCCAGGAGTGATGGTGCACACCTGAAATCTCAGCACTTAGGAGCCTTGGGCAGGAGGATGGCAATGAATTCTAGGCCTGCTTGGGCTGCAGCAGAGAGGTCAAGGCCAGCCTGCACTACACAGTGAGACACTGTCTCAAAACAAACCTAGAAATCCATGAAAAATTTTACATCATGCATCTTGCCTCTTTCATTTTAATCTCCAATTTCTACAGACGAGATTAGCATCCAAATTACCTAATAAAGAGTTTTCAGTTGATTCTTTTTATTTTACAGAGCTTATGCAGGAAAATGAATATATGTCCAAGAAAAGAGTAGAATTGAAGAGCAATGAAGAAAATCTCCAATCTTGGGAGCAAAGTGATTACCAGACTGGTCAACTTTTCACACTGGAGATTTTATAAACTTCAAAACAAACAAAAAACAAATGTTAGAGGAATCCACCTTAAGAATGAACATGCCTTAGTAATCTAGGTCTTGGTATTTTAGTAGCTTTGGTTTCATGAGCATGTATTCTTAGTTATCTAATTTTGAGTTTCCTCCTCCATCAAGGTTATACTTCTCTATAGCCTGAATGGGCCTGCCAGGTAGCTCACTCGATTAAAGCACCTGCTTAGGCTGAGTGCAGGAAGAGGGTCCAATCCCCAGCACCACAAACCATGCTGGCCCCGCCCCCAGGGCACACTGAGAGCGCAACTGAGACTGGGCGTGGTGGTCCATGCCTGTAATCCCAGTGCTTGGGAGGCTGAAAATAGGAGAATCACTACGAGTCTGATCTGTGGAGTGAGACCCTGTAGAACCTGTACTAGCTACACTTAAAAAAAAAGAAAAAGAAAAAGAAAGATATTCTATAGCTTGAATATGTAAACAATAGCTGCCACTAAATCTGGTGCACCCACTCCAGTTTATGTAAATTTTTGTCAAAGTTTAAAAAAAAAATTCCCATGTTACTTTGCAGCAGCCAAATGGAGTGAGGATGCGCTGCGGCCAGCTGCTGCCATTATCAAGTACACCTAATGACTTCCTAGCTTGATTACCAGACTTTCTGGGCACAGGCTAAAAAAAAAAAAAAAGATCTTGATTTTTGTAGATTGGTGTTGGAATTTCACAGGACTTTGGAGCAAACTGATAGATTTTATTACATCTGAAACTGGAAAAAGATGACAGCTCATCTTTCAAGAATAAATTGATAGGTCAGGGAGATAGCTCAGTAGAATAAGCACTTGCCTGGCAAGTGCAAGGTCTTGAGTTCAATCCCTGGTACTGCCAAAAAAAAAAAAAAAAAAAAAGAAAAAAAAAATGAAAGAAGAAGAAGAAGAAGGAAAAAAAGAATAAATTGATATCCAGATGGTTCATTTTTGGCTTTTCTAAGGAGGAAACTATTGATCTGTGTAGTGCCAACAGGCTGCCTATTTTTGTTTGATATTCAAAATAAAATAATTTCAATCTTCAGTTCATTTCTATACATTATCTTAATATGGAAAGGGTTTTTTTTGTTTGTTTGTTTAAACTCACTGGGCAGAAAAAGATCAATCCTCTCCCCTAAGTAGCCAGATTTCCCTTGGCCAAACAGAGCTGATAACTGAGGCTTTTAAAAGGTAAATCATGTGGAAACAAACTACTTTCACTTGAATTGGACATATAATTGGGGAGAAAATTATCTGAAAAAAAAATTTGAGTTTGTCATTGTAGGTCTATGTACTACAGAAAATATTTTAAAATGCAAATTTGTTGTTTCTTAGCTTCTCAATAAAACAAAGAATTATAATCATTAGAACATTTAACACAAGTAATATGGTAAGCTCCTTTCATGGGGTTGTTATCTGACCTCTTCTCTGTCATTGATGGTTAAATCAAATATTAGATATATGCATGTTTATAAAGGACTCCAGCTTGATTTATTCATTTTATAAATGTTAGTTCAATTTTTATTTCTTGTGTTTCTTTGAAACACAAAAAATAAGTCTAGTTGGCAAGAACAGGTAGTAAAATTCTTGAGTACAAATTCCATGCATATAGGGCCCTCAACTGCCTTGATGATCACTGGAAGTTTAGTGCTTAACACAGGATCTGACACAAAGTATTTGAACATGAGCAAAAATGTGTTAAATTGCATTAAATGGATGGAGTTGAACCAGCAAATCATGACATGAGTAAGAAGTACCTTGCCTGTTTAGTTGGTTTCTCCCATTCCCAGTGGGTGAGGTCAGAGAATAAGCCTAGCTTTGGTGTTTGAGATGGACTCAAAGGTTGTTAATGAGAGAACAGCCCCTCAACCAGGGTGTTACCGTACTTTCACATTAGAGGGCATCACAGCAGAAGAAAGAAACTAAATTTTCCTGTAGATCTGCCTCAAGGCTTTGAATATTCCCAGGTGCCATTCTCCAAGGTATCTAGGTACAACAGCTGCAATGGGTGGTCATCCCCAGCCCTCACCTCCAGTAGGACACACCACTCAACATCTCCACCGGGCCCCTCCAGAGCTGTTAGGACCTGAAATACAGAGGTGTTTGTTTGCTACCTGTGCTATTGACTGTTTCTGTGCCTGGCCTGCTATGAAATTCCAATGCTTGAGAATAATGTTTGATGACAGGAAAGCAGTGTGATTCACCGGCTGTGGCCTGGGTTTCCAGATGTGTTGTTTAGACAACACAGTATATGTGCTTCGCAGCCTCGGTTAACCTACAAGAGTTCAGTCTCTTGAAGATGGTGTCTCCATATTGCAATGACAGCTTAGATAGCTCATAGCTTCCATTTTTATGCCGGTTGTTCAAATCTTGAAAGAAGGTTCTTAATTTAATAGATAAAAGGAAGGGAAAAGTTCTCCCTCCCCAGGGGAGAACTGCTAAGTGGTGTTGGTAAAGTTGGCACTAGTGCCATCTGGGTGGGTGTTTCATCATAATTAGTTTACCAGAAGGCTCTCAATCTACCTTATGTGTCTAGTTTCCCTTATTAGCAAAAAGAAGTTTATACTATTAGGCCTCAAAAAGCATAATATAGACTAGGCGTGGTGGCACACTCCTGTAATCACAGTGCTTGGGAGGCTGAAAACAGGAGGATCACTATAAGTCCAGTCTGTGTAGTGAGACCCTGTAGACCCTGCACTAAATACAAAAAAAAAAAAAAAAAAAAAAAAAAAGGCAAAATATACTTTCAAAGAAAAAGATTAAGCCAGGCAAGGTGGCTCATGCCTATAATCCCAGCACTTGGGAAGCTGAGGCAGGAAGATCATTGCAAATTCGAGACTAGCCTAGGCGACAAAGTAAGCTCAAGGCCAGCCTGCACTGCATAGTGAGAACTTGAGAGTTTGTCTCAAAAATACCAAAAAAAAAAAAAAAAAAAAAAAGGCTGATTCATTGATTGAGGGACTATCGCACTTTCCTGTTGTTCTTCCATACTTTATTAGCACAGGATCTACAGGGGCTCACTACATAGATTGGATTTGTAGTGATCCTCCCATTTTCAGCCTCCCAAGTGCTAGGATTACAGGTGCCCGCCACCACACCCAGTCTCAGTCACCATCCCAGTGCACACAGAATGCTGGGGATTGAACCCCCTTCCATATTTTTCTTGATAAAAAATAGGAATTAGATTATTATGTTACTATGGCTTTATGTTTCTTTCTGTAAACAAGAATAGCTCTTAGAGGAATAATTAGAAGAACTCTATATATTAAAAGCCCGCTGGTTTTTATCTTCTCTCTTTATGGACCTATTCATTCATCTCCTTTTCATCTTAGTATTTTTATTACAGCTCATTGTTGTTACTTCAGCCCAGCAGGATTTTTCCATTATGTTTTTATAGTAAACCTAGCAGGATTTCAAGATGGAAGTCCATGTTCAGTTGGGGTATTTATCTGGGAGGAAGCCAAGCATGGAGTTTCACTGTCTAAAACTTTTCTTTTTTACTGTGAAGGGTTGATTGACATCACAGAGGATCCAGACTTTAGTGGAATCTATGATCAAGACCTGAATGAAGATCCAACGTATGATCCTAACAGCCCTGAAGAAAAGGCTGTGTTTATGAAATATGCCGAAAATATTCTCCTGAAATTGACATTCAGCACCACACAAGTTCAGCAGTGTGAAAATGTCTTCATCTTTGAGGCAGCCTATTGGCTTACCAACGCTATCAAATATACTCAGGATTATCTTGATATTTGTACCTATCAGAGACTGCAGCAAAGATTATATCTTCAGAAAAAGATTATTCAAAAACACTTTGAGAAGAAAAAAGAAATCAGAAGAGGGATAAGCTACCTAAAGTTGATATGTTTTCTGGTTCCATTTTTACTAAGTTTGAAAAAGAAGATGAAAGTCCCATATTTAAATAGCCTGCTACCGCCTTTTTCAGGTAGGATATCACCAAAAATCAAATACAAAATAGTATGTGTATGTAATAAATGCATATCTAAAGCCAATTTGTTCTAGTATATACTTCAGGTTTATAATAACAAATTTAATGTTTCCAGTGTAATTAAAATATTTGGCACACATACATACATAGCATTTATATATACTTATGCTTATTATAAAAACTACTAAAAGACTTAAATTCTAAATAAATATTGCATATGTTCATCTAAATTACTCTGTAAATTCAATACAATTCTATTCAAAGTCCATATCGTATTTCTTCCTAAAGTTTACAAATTGAATGATTTTTCATTTCTTAAAAACAGATGGAGGGCTGACCAAATAGCTCAGCGGGTTAAAGTGCCTACAAGCAGGCACAGGTGCAGGGGTTCGATCCCCAGGTCTGCCATGCCAGCCCCACCCCTGGGGTGCACTGAGATGGCAATTGAGACTGGGCATGGTGGCTCGTGCCTGTAATCCCAGCTCTTGGAGGCTGTAAACGGGAGTCTCACTGTGAGTCCAATCTAGTAGTGAGACCCTGAATACCCTGTAGGCCCTTCCCTAAAATACAGAAAAAATATTAATAAAAATAAAGACAGATTGAAGCATATTAAAACTTTAGTGATTAAATGAAAGAATATCCGCATTTTAATAAACAAATGGAACAACAAATGTGAATTAAGAGCTGCTTATACGGAAGAAGCGTTTGCTGTCACAGAGCTTGGTAGGACTGCACTGCAAACTCTCCCTCTACCCAGACCAACACACAATGTATCCATTTCATTGGTGTCCAAACATGTAGGCTTCTAATGAGGATCCTTTACAGATGGCAATTTTGGTAGAAATTTTGCAAATCATTCAGTAAAATTTTGTGACATAAGAATTCCTAGGTGATAATTAGCTCTGTTATCTGTGAATTGTTTTAAAATGGAATCAGGATAGTGTCCCATGGGTGCACATATGTGTGTGCGTGTGTGTCTGTGTATGTATAGAATTGGAGGGGCTTTGTAAATGGCATGTTAGCTGTATTCTCAATGTTTTCTTACATAAGCTGTTGAAAGCAAGCAGGACTACATATAAAGTTAATTCTATATGGTCAGATTAGGGCATATTATTCTTTGCATTTCCATGTACTGTTTATATTTCTTAAAATACATTACAGGCTTTATGTGTTGAAAGCATTTATTAACCAGTCAAAATATTGAATAAACTTAATCCTCACTAGTCTTTTACAAAGTTTCTTTTAAAAATGTTTTATGTGTGATTTGCTGCTGTTGTTGCTTTTTTTTTTGGTTTTGTTTTTTGTTTGGCGGAACTGGGGATTGAACTCAGGGCCTTGCACTTGCCAGGGAAGCGCTTATTCCACTGAGCCATCTCCCCAGCCCTTATGTATGATTTGCTACTTTCAAGAAATACAGGCCTTTTTTTCATATAGGAAATATCTACCTATTTCTTTATAGTATGCCTTTTTTATGTAATGTATTTGGTACAGGGTCTCACTACACAGCTCAGACTTATAGTGATCCTCCTGTTTTCAGCCTCCCCAGCTCTAGGATTACAGATATGTACCACCATGCATGGCATAGATGGCTGGCTCAGCTTGCCGCAGGGTGTATAGTGTGCCTTTTACTAAGCTAATTCAGGTGTTTTGTTTATTTAACCAAAGGCTTTCTAAGACACAAAATTTGAAGTCTTTTCTGGTCATGGAAGGTAAGATACTAGAATCTTGAGCACATTTATAGAAATCAATAAGTAGAAAAATGTTTTATACTTTTACAATGTCTGTACAATGAAACACTACCAAAAGTGCCCAAGGTGTTTGATATAAACAATTTTAATGTTCAAAATCTTATATACAGTGGCTGAGGAGATAGCTCAGTAGAATAAGCACTTCCCTGGCAAGTGCAAGGGTCTGAGTTTAATCCCCAGTTCTGCCAAAAAACAAAGACAAACAAAAAATACCTCATATATATATATATATATATATATATATATATCAAACATAGATTTTTTTATATACTATAAGTAATAAGATCTTACTTTCATGTGGATTTTTTTTTTACTTTGTGTACATCACTGAGAATTTAGACCTCTAAAATATATTTACATTTGTTCACTTTTTAAATAAAAGTTTGTTTTCATTTTGGGAGATGATAAGGTCAAGACAGAGCGAGAACTGCCTCCATTTATTTATGGACGAGATTTTAAATGCCAGAACTTTCACTACAAGGAGAATCAGTACTTTCATGTTCATGGAGGAATTGAATTTGACATCACCACCCCTTCAATTGAGAATGCTTTGGACGATTTTAAGGTTTAAATTATTGTTGTTCCTGAAGTAGTTTGTTGTTTTGTAACTCTTTGTCTCCTATTTTGCAACCAGAAAGTGCTTCTGTCAACACAAGTGCTATGTAGGTGTCCAGAGAATTGTCCTCGTGACTCTGAGTTGTTCACAAGTCACTTTAACATAATGAATTAGAAGCAGCTCCACCTAAGGAACTGTGCTGGTGTCAGAGATAAAGTGATAGATAAGCTGCTTATGTACCTCATCGGCACAGAATTTCCAGACTTCTAATAGGCTGTGTTTCCCTTAGAACAGTTAAGCAAAAGGTGTGGTAGAAAATACTGAACTCCCTAGAAATAATCTCCCACTTTCCTCACAACCTGACACTAGAAAAAGGGCCCTTTAAAGTTTGACAAAATCAATCCTTCATCTGGAATTTCCTCTAAGTATTATGCATTTCAACTGCCATTGCTTTTCTGCCTTGACTGTATTACTTTCCTTTGTGGTTTTTCTTTATTTTCAAAGTAGGGATATAGGGACAGCAAGCTAGCTCAGCTGACTAAGAATCTACTTAGGCAAGGACAAGGACAGGGGTTTGATCCCTGCACCACATGCCATGCTGGCCCCACCCCCAGGCATGCTGAGCTGGCCACCCAGTCCAGGCCTGATGGCGCATGCCTATAATCCCAGCACTGGAGAGACTGAGACAGGAGGATTACTGAGTCCAAGCTGGGTAGTAAGACTCTGTACCACATATATTTTTTAAAAAACCAAAGTAGGGATAGCATATATGCTGTTACTTTCAAAGTCTTCTGGGATATTATATTTAAATTTTTCACTTAAATGTATAGATTTTCATATGAAAGAAGCTTTAGAAGTATTTAGATTTGTACAGAGATGGTTTAGTAACATAATTAATATTTTAGAACAATTTAGAAAGAATACGAGAGTGTGCTGCTAATACATTTAAAGAAGATTATGGATACAAAGAATATTACTCAATACCAGTCATGGAATTTTGTGGGAAAAGGTAAGGAACTTTTGGTAATTATTCAAACTAGCCACATATTACAGAGAACATGGAGCAAGCCAGGTCAAAACATAACAGTTTAACTCTGCATGGAGCTCCTAGAAGCTACTTAAAGCCCTAGGATGGAGAGGGTAGAAAAATAACGACCAATAAATGATGCACTCATGTGACAAGGCGCATATTAAGTGCTACAGTTACTACTTCCTGCACCTTGACACCTTCTGTACAACAATCCTTAGAACTTGTAATTACTTCATATAAAACAGTGGTTAAATCCTAATGAGGATGGGGATGAAACCTTGTGAGGCAGCTGAAGCAGCAGACCAGCACACCCCACTTTAGTTACATAAGCAATATGCTTTTAATTCCTCTTCTTCCAAGTCTTGTTGTGCCTTTTTTTTTTTTTAAAGTAGTACGTTTCCTCCAAGCAGTATTTCTAGCATCATTTATATGTTGTATTCTTGGATTTTCACATTTTAAGCACAGACTTTCAGAAAGAAGGACTGGAAATATCACTAATCCAAAGGAAATATTTGGATTAGAGATAGATATTTTAAAACATATAATAAGGTTTGCTTGCTTGCTTGTTTTAAAGAGAGGGAAGGAGTTAAGAGGACAGGACCAAGTCTGGAACTCTGTGGAACAGTGACCTTTAGGGAGGGTGGGGAGAGGTAGAGCAAGGAGAAAGAGCAGACGAGGCTGAGAAGGAATGATGCAGGACAGGATTGTGTAGCATGAAAGGCAGGTATGGAAAATTGTAGGAATATGGAAAGAACTAAAAGAGCTCCCTCTAAATACAGCTATAATTTGGTAAGAGATTTTTTTTTTTAAATTTAAACGAGGCTGTTAGCCATGAGTTGAAGGATACAGTGGAGGAAAGTTAGCAAGATGGGAAGGTAAACATTACTAGTTTCTCTCAAGATGCAAGACAATGAGGAGAATAAAACAAGGCTAAGGGAGTATCAGAAGAATGGAGGAAAGGTGGGTTTTTCTCTTGAATGCTGCCTGGATGAACACATACTACCAGAGCTGAAGTCAAAGACCACTGGCACCTCTTGGAGGCAGGACACAAGGACACGTGACTAGCCCTTCCCCACCCCCACCCCCAGTCTGGCACTGTATCTGTGGGGTGTGGGTGAGACAGTTCTTATTTGTGTTGTTGTGGTCTGGTGTTAACTTGTGGGGAGGGGTCGTGGTTTGGAAGAATCCTTCAAAACAAACCCACCTCCATCAAAGCGCTGAGGTTTATTATGTTTTTAAAATTGGGGTTGAAGTGAAGATCAAGGAGCGAATTGGCCCCTGATTAATTTAATCAGTGTTTCCCTAAGACTTTCCTGTAACTGATCTACAGGGCCCACTTATTCTCCTGTAGCACTGAGAAAGGAGTTTCCTTAGCTTACAGTAGGGAAATCCCACCACCACTCCACCCTCCCCGCTTCCCGCTTTAGTACTCCACAACGGAGCACGTTTCTCAACACTCCTCGGAAACCTACCAGACCCCAAAGAGCAAAGCAAAGAGTCTTAGGAGAAGGACGCCACTGTTAATAATGTCATACTGTCAAAAAACAGGAGTTGCACCTAGACGAAAAGTCTAAGGAACTGAGACTTCCACTGACAGGGGCACCAGCAGCTGAGATGCTGGTCCACGGTTGAAACCTGGGTGTGGGGAAAGGTACCTCAGGGCGAGGTGGAGGAAGGCTACCGTTTTTCCTTGCTTGTGATGAGGAGCACCTCCCAGGCCACACACTAACTCAAAACCAAGTCGCTTTTCATTCCAGAGGGCCAGGAGCCAGGATTGCTGTGAGCTACCCTGACTGCACCTCAGGGATCTGATCCTCAGGGATCTGGTAGGTTGTGAGTTTCTTTAGTCCATAGCTGCAGTGAGTGAAAAGCCAGGATCCTGGGTCAGACTCGAAGCAAAGAACCCCCAAGAAATTATTGGCATAGCAAGAGGTGTGCAAGCAGGAGAAGAACCCTGAATTCCCTGAGCCAGAATTTGTGCTTCTGGAGACTTCTAAGCAGCGCCATGATAGGGTATGAGAAGGACAAAGCAGATCCAAAGAACCAATATGGAGAAGATACTTTTTATGTAAAAACTTGATTAATTACAGTTAGTAAATATGTCAGTAATATATTTACAATCAAGTACAATTTAAATTGCAGTTCTGTACTTAGTTATTATGGAAAAATCAACTTTTGCCAGCATAGAAAAACAAAGTAGCAAATCATTTCAAAATCTGAAAAACTTTTCTTTATTTTTTTATAGCTACTATGTGATCTATTTTGACCTTGAAATTTTCTATCAGCAACTGTACAAGACACAGTGGTGGGGAGCCATCAATGAAATAATGAACACTCTGAGGGTGAAAAGACTTCCACTGACTGATGCTCAATTACATGAACAATTTAAGAAAAAATTTGGTTTCAAAAAAGCTATGAAGTGCAAGGTATTTCAGTGACTCTCACATAATCCAATGTGAGAAGTTACATATTATCAATAAGTATATGTCTCCAATTTTTATCTCAAGGCTAAATAAGAGGTTAAATAAAATCTTCAATAGGATACAAAATTCCACATTTTATTAGATGAAAGCTATACTGTTTATTATTACAAACTTTTGGCATCATATGAAACAGCCTGTTAATGAATTGGATTATGAGTAATCTTAATGATAATGATTAATATTTATTATTAATATTTATTGATTAATATTTATTATTTATGTTGTCGTTCAGGCATTATTATTAAAAATTCTTTTAAGGTATTAATTATATTGTCATTCCTATTACACAAATGAGAAATTCAAGGGAGAGTTAAAACCTTTCCCCAGCAGCATAATGCATAAATGGCAGAAGCCTGCTTCAGACCTAGGAGTGAACCCAAGGGGCAAACCTAAATTCCTGCATCAAATCTGGACATCTACTCACAAACCTTGACCTAACAATTTCTGGAACTCCCCAATGTTTATACTGCTATTTACTCTCCATCTGTTTGTTTTAAAACTTTAATATCAGCTTAATTTTCAAATATCTAGTAAGGGATGCATAAAGAACAAAACTTTTACCTCTATTCAGAGACTTACGGAAGACGAACTAGTTCCATAGCTTTATCCTTCAAGTTGCTGGATATCTAGGTTGTCTTTAAATAAGGCAAGGGTAAAAAAATAAGGAAGGGGAACAGAGTGATCTTCATTTGTTTTTAAAGTATCTCAGAAGGTGTTTGTCTGTTCTGTTTTATCTGCAAAGAAGAAAGGTCTGCATCCTACCCTTTAACAACGAAAAACGCCTTCCCATACAGATATCTAAAGTTCTGAGTATTTCCTTCCACAGTAGCGCTGACAACTCTAGACTTTCCCACCGGGGAATCATGTGAGAGTGTGACTGTGCTGAACAATCACGTGATTTGGCTAACTTATTTTGGGTCATTTTTTTTCCTTAAAGTTAATTTTAAGTAGATTTAATGGTGACTATTTCAAAGCTAATTCTGCCCTCTTAATAATTTTAGAGTATACCATTTGGTCTGAAGTCTGCTGTCGAGCGAGGGCTGTCTGCGATTTTCCACACGTTTAGCCGGAAAACCTCAAGCTCCATAATCAATGTCTCAGATGAATCTGGGTACGCTATTTTCCACCACGCTGCTCTCCACAACCGAATTTCCATCATATGTCACCTGTGTGACGCTAACTTCAACGTCAACCAGAGGCGCTTTGTTATGTTCAGCCAAGGTACCTTGTAAATCTTTTTTTTTGCTCCGAATGCCTTCAGGCAGGTTTGGCTGGCTTGAGTTGTGGGGATCGAACCACAGCAACCTGAGCCTGACTGCTTTGTTGAAGCAGCCACTTAAAGAACTGAGCTAAGGGGCGGCCCCCCCTTGTAAATCTTTTAACCCTACAATATTTTCCTTATACTTACCTCTTATTCCACATTAAGAATACGTGTTGTTTTAAAGCAAGCTTAAAATTTTGTGTTGGTATCTTAAGCTGAGGGTTTTGTTTACCTAAGATCTCTTTTAGTTTTATTAAGTATCAATTGTTGCTGCGGAATACAGGATTGTATCTGCTTGCTTTGGCTCCTTCCCTTGAGTATTAGCTCCCTGCGGGGCAAGGATTTGGTCGACTTTGTTTGCCATGGTAAGCTTGTGTTCAGAAGAGAGCCTGAAGTTAGTAATTACTCACAAAATCTTTGTTGAATAAATAAATGCAGAATAGAAACTGGTAAGCACTAGTACAATTAATATATAGTGCTATGCTCTAGAAATTCAGAGAAAGAAAGTATGAATATTCATCAGATGCTGGTAGAATATTCTTATCCTTATTTCAACATTCTAAACTCAGGACTAGTTTCTTGATAGTACATATATTTAATCATAAAAACATTCTTTTATAATATTTATGATTAATAGCTCCTTTAAGGATAACCTAGTTTAAACTTTAAGAAGCCATCTTTGCTGATTGTTAAATATACATACATCTTTTTACATCGAATGGAATAAATTTGAGTAGCATAGAAAATAAAGTTACAAATGAAAATAGAGAGATTGTCAGGATAAATAAAGATAAATTGTCAGGAATGGGTGGTACAACAGTACTGATAAAAAGAAATGGTGATTTTATATTTTAATTAGATCAGCTACCGCAGTAAGCTATCTTAATTTTTTTTTTTTTTTTTTTTTTTTTTTTTTTTTTGCGGAACCAGGGATTGAACTCAGATCCTTACATTTATCTTAAATTTTTGCACCCACAAAACTAGTGTTATGCTTCAATCCTGCCTACTAGTAAATTCCAAACTCCAGCAGTGTGACTAAAATTTCTTACATGCTATGAAGGTTCATCTTTCAGTTGTAATTTTCAGTATAGAATAAAGCTAGTGGCCAAGGAGATGGCTCAGTAGAACAAGTGCTTGCCTGGCAAGTGGAAGGGCCTGAGTTTAATCCCTGGTTCCACACACAC